TACATCATGGCATTACAGGCCGACGGAGATGTAGGCTGAGTCGCTCAAATCTGAAAGTACAATTCCCATCTGCCGGACTTGACCTAACATGAGCCACGAACGAGGCACGGCCTACAATCATGAAGAACAATTTGTTCACCGGAAACAATTCAAACAGCACCAATTCCAGAACATCGATCTCTCCTCTCAACGTCATCAAGTTTGAGTGGCTAAAAAATACGCTAGAATCTCGAGTTTGTGCATAATAATTGTAGCGTTTCCGGATTAAAAGAAACGACGCGCAACTGGGCGAGTCGCAGTATACCACCGGCAATGTCTTGGTGTTACATACGAGCCTAAGCTTACATTCTCCATGCGAACTTTGCAAGGACTGTTTTTTATTGGTGAAAACTTGAAAATGTGCACGACGCAATCCAGTTACCATGTATTGGATTTTGAAAATTTTCGTTTAGTAAAGTCACACGCGTTTATGTCAATCAACGCACACTGTCGCACCACTTACCACACGGGCCTTCGGTAATTTCGGAATCTGCGATAGATGGAGTGGAGCTTCTGGAGAGAGTATTGACCGTTCTTGCTGAATACCATTGAGATGACTTACTAAATTCAGATCATTGTTTTTGGCGAAAATCTTATCGAGGACTACATAATAAGAACTTTGATAAGATAGTGTTCGTTGAGTCGATTATTCTCCACAAAAGGGTACCGTCACAAGCACATAATTTCGATAAGAATATCAGTTCCGGTGGTCTGTCACTTCGCAACTTCCTCCGCCGCCTCCAGTTCTCCAGTCATCATAGTGAAGACCGCTACTTTCCTGGTTGCCACAGCAATCGCAGCATGTGCCCTATTCGACTCGTCATCAGCTCACAAGGAGGTCACACGCCGAGCTCTCTCCACCGATCAGCGCAAGCTTTTCGCCCAAACGGCTCAAGACTCGTAACATGTTCTAGTACCGAGTCGTCACGCAAGCTCCAGGATCGCGCTGTTGCTCGCCGTGCGGAAACAATAAGGAAACTACGTGACGAGCATCTCCAGCGTCGCCTTAACGACCACGAGTCAGATCTTGACGTGACTGCGGACACAGCATCCAGTGTTCTGTTCGACGGTGAAACCACGTTCATCGTGGAGCCTGAGCTAACTGAGGGACCGTACTATGTCCGTGGGGAGCTCATTCGTACTGACATGCGCGAGAAACAAACCGGTGTCACGATGTATATCGATATTCAAGTGATTAACGTGAACGACTGCACGCCCGTCAAGGACATGTACGTGGACTTGTGGCATGCTAATGCCACAGGTGTGTTCTCGGGCGTGGTAGCGAGTACCAACGGCAACAGTGCGGATCAATCCAATCTCCAAAACACCTTTCTGCGTGGTGTAACACCCACGGACGACGACGGTGTCGCCGAGATGATCTCCATTTTTCCCGGGCACTATGCTGGGCGCACTACTCACCTGCATTTCATCGGTAACTACGGCGGTACAGTCCTCTCCAACAAGACGTACGCTGGCTCTTCAGTAGCCCATGTGGGTCAGTTCTTCTTCGAGCAAGACCTGATCGACGCAGTGGAGGCGGTGACTCCGTACTCGACCAACAAGCAAACACTTACAGCAACCGCGAGTGACAACATCTACAAAGCAGCTCTCGGCAACAACTACGACCAGATCATGAACTACGCTTTGCTGGGCAGCTCTGTGAACGATGGCGTTTTCGTGTGGATCTCGGTGGCTGTTGACATGACTGCTGAACGAG